GGGGCAGTGAGCGATGGCTGCGTGGTGCTGAGCTGCTGGCTAGGCTGAGCCACGCCAATCTCTTTACACACAGTATCTGCACAGAATAAAGTACCTTTAGGCTGTCCCAGCTACTCAGCCATGCCATGGAATACATTTGAGAATATGGAAATTCATCCTTTTATAGTCATTAAAGGGGTGGGGATATGATAACACATTAATAATTCCGTGGTTCTGTGAGATGTTAGCATGCAGGAAATTGGTGAGAATCCTTTCATCACTGGGTCAAAATCCATGCCGTTAGGATGCCTTTCTCACTTCATATCAATGCATGCTGTAAAAAGGGTGTCAAGCAACTTCTATGTTTAATAGTTGTGATAGAAAATGGAGGCTCCAGACTGGATCGATGTGTCTCACTTTCTAGCTGTACAGGTAAGTTATAGTTATGCTGTCTCAGTCTGCTTTTTAAAAGGGCCAGATACAAATCAGCAATTATGAAGAGTAAAAAAAGATGCAACCTGTCGGTCAGTTGGTTTCTTAAGGAATTGTCATGAAATTTTTCACACCTGCTTTACGGGTCAGAAATCTTGGCCCTGGTTCTCTTTGGTTCTCTTTCCTGCTGATGTCTTTTGTCGTGCCTCCACAGCAAGTTACACTTACACGTGCTAGCTTACTCCAGCTCTCTTGCGAGGCATAGGCACAACCTAGGAATTCAACTCCAGGTTTGTAAAGGGCTTGCTAGCCTTTACTAGTTGGAGCAGTGACAGAGTTGGGCATAGAAATGGATTTCCTGGCTCCTTGTAAGAGCTTCCAGTAAGACCAAACTACCATTTACCAGTGCAATTAGATGAGTCTTTGTATTCTCCTTTATCATCAGTATTCCTTCAGCTTCTGTAAGCTGCATACCTTCAGCTCAGCACAGTATGAAAGTAGAGCTCATGAATCTTCTTTTTTCTTTTTTTTTTTTTTTTTTCAGAATAAGTTGTGAATATTGAAGGTTAATGAAGTTTCTCAAGCAGTGGCAGACCTCTAGAATATCTGTTATTGAGGGATTATTTTTATAACATTCACAGTGGAGCCTCTTGGTAGTATAGCATTTGAGCAGTGTGTGATTTTAGGGGTTTTTTTCAAGTACATGAAATGAAGATGGTACAAGATCTACTTTGAATTAAATTAGGAAAGTGCAGCTTAATCCTTCAATGTAAGACTTGCAAACCCCAGTTTTACTGTATACATTAATAATCAAGGCAGCTGATTCAAGAAACTCATCTTAGAATTTTTCTCTTGTAAGGAAAATAGTGGAGCTTGTAAGCATTTAAGTAACCTAAAAATAAAAAATAGCTGAAATTTTGGTTTTAATAACATTTATTCACATCTATACCTGGAGATCAGGTTTTATATTTGGAAAAGCCATACACACACACACGTATTGCAGGGGGGCTCCAATGCTAAACCTCCCTTGTTCTTGAAAACTGGTTAGTGGCTTTAGTCTGCAATATTTTGAAATTATTTGTGAGTCTAATTTTCTGCAGCACCTGGGAGCCTTTGTGCACATACTTTGGAGTTTAGGTTTCTTAAGACTGCAGAACAAGTAAGACTTTCTATTTATTTAATATAATCATTTGTAATTTGCATTCCCAGAAGCATGCATGGTATTTCAAAAGTGGAATGTGACTTTGAAATGATATATTACCTAATTATTGCATTTTTCATTGATGACTATTTTCTTTGTGCTTCACATTTCTTACATGGCTCATATTGCAGATCTTACCATGTTCTCGCTGATTCCATGCCCTGTATAAGACACAGTTCCACCTCATTATAACATTAACCTGGTCAGGAGTAGTGCCAAGACGGGAGATCTCTTGTTCTGGTCTCAGCAAGAAGCTCCACACTCTAGATGCATGGAAAGCAGTTTTGTGAATGTAACTCCTGCCTTCCCTCAAGCCATTGCAGTGTTCTTACTAATTTTCATGAAACAAGGAAGAGGTTGACACTCTACTGTTTTATCTGATGTTGTGTGTCATTCCACCAGAATTAACTACTAATGACAATGACAAATGAAGGCAGTAAATAGTCGTGCATTAGAGTCCCATGCGAAGGCAGTAGCATGTGTGGTTCCCGGTGCTTTTCCAGGAGTCTGCCACATATAAAGATTATCCATTTGTTTTTTCTCTGTTGTAGGTTCCCCCTTGGTCCTCGCCCCTTCCATTCCCATCCCGGTTGTCTGACAGTAATGTCTAAATAACCAGCCTCTTTCTATTTCACATGTCTTGTAGATCGATGAAATGCAGTGGGGCAAAGGAGTGCGTGAAGTCCCGTCCTCGGTCTGCAGCCTGCCTTGCAAGCCAGGAGAGAGGAAGAAGATGGTGAAGGGGATGCCGTGCTGCTGGCACTGTGAGCTCTGCGACGGCTATCAGTACCAAGCTGACGAGGTGACTTGTCTGCTCTGCTCATACAACGAGCGGCCCAACGAGAACCGGACGGGGTGCCGTTCGATACCCATCGTCAAGCTGGAGTGGCACTCGCCCTGGGCTGTCATACCCGTCTTCTTGGCTATGCTGGGAATTATTGCCACCATTTTTGTCATGGCAACGTTCATCAGATATAACGACACTCCCATTGTCCGGGCTTCTGGGAGGGAACTCAGCTACGTTCTGTTAACAGGGATATTTCTGTGCTACATAATCACGTTTCTGATGATCGCCAAACCAAACGTTGCAGTGTGCTCCTTCCGCCGTATCTTCTTGGGCTTGGGGATGTGCATCAGCTACGCAGCCCTGTTAACTAAAACAAACCGCATCTACCGCATATTTGAACAGGGCAAAAAGTCAGTGACAGCACCTAGGCTTATAAGCCCCACGTCACAGCTGGCGATCACGTCGAGTTTGATATCTGTTCAGCTTCTAGGTGTCTTTATTTGGTTTGCAGTTGACCCACCCAACATCATCATAGATTATGATGAGCAGAAAACTATGAACCCTGATCAAGCCAGAGGAGTTCTCAAATGTGACATTACGGATCTACAAATCATTTGTTCCTTGGGTTATAGCATTCTTCTAATGGTTACATGTACTGTGTACGCCATCAAGACTCGGGGTGTCCCAGAGAATTTTAATGAAGCTAAACCCATTGGATTCACTATGTACACTACCTGTATAGTATGGCTTGCCTTCATTCCAATATTTTTTGGCACTGCCCAGTCAGCCGAAAAGGTAGGTGAAAATGAACAAACGTGTGTCTGATGTATCAGGATTCGTTGCAGTTATAAATTACATACTGATGTTCAGCTTTACATAGGTTTTAAAATAGCTATCCAGTTAGCTCGTTACTGAGACGTGCAATATACAGCACCATTTTCCTTCTCCATTTAGCTGGTGGGCTATTCATTTGATAAACCGGCAAATGATCAATAGCAATCATATTAGCCATTAGTTTTATTGTTGCATCTATTTCAATTGCATCTTTTCAGTCAGATGAGTGGGAATTAGCTGTCATATTGTCTAGAAAGAGGCATCTTTTAACTAAATCATTTTGAATACAAGATGTAAGCAACAAAACCTGTCAAAAAGTAGTCAAGCAGACTCCTGTGCTTCTGGCCTTCAGCACTGAGGGCAGTGCTTAGTCTGATGAGTGCTGTGCTTCACAAATAGCAGCCTCAGGGCACATTTGCACCACAGGGTAAATAGTCTGTCCTGAGCTCCAGCTGCTGAGACTAGACTGGCGGTGTTATCTGTATTGCTTATTTTTAAACTAGCCCAGGTAGACTTACCCTATAGCTCATGGCAAGGGTATAGCCAGAGTCCTGGAGTGAATGAATGCCAGGTGGCTTCTCTTCATGAGTGAGGTCCACTTGAGCCCATGGAGTTCATTCACCAAAAGCCAATCCAAAACGTTACGTTTACACAACTTAAGAGAAAGCATCCAAACGTTAGGATCTAATCCATTAGTTGGATTGTTATGGAAATTAATTATTGCAAAGTGCTGTCAGAGTCGATTAAAACATTCCCGTTGGCTTTGAGAGGCTGCAGATGCTGCAGAGGAGTCTGCAGTGTGCGTGTCACGGGGCTTGAGTGCACATCACGTCCATCGCGTGCTCACAGCTGCTCGGGCACTGGCAGCTGAGGGAAGGAGCTGGGCAGCTTAGGGAAATACGCCCTGGCAATGAGAGCAGACGCGCACGTGAAGAGATGCAAAACTTGGTCAGCTATGGGCGTTGCTGCCAACAGAAATCAGGTTTAAAGTGCTCTTTGCACATACATAGAGTCAGCTCTGCTGGGATCCCAACCCAGCGTGCTGCAGCTGATGCTGTGATGGTTTAGGTACAAACATGAACAGCCTCTCTTTTGTCTCACATAAAGTGACAAGGAGAAAGTCACCCCCTTCTTCCCATTATATTTATCGGTGAGGATGGTGGCCTTGGAGAAAGAAGGCAATAAACAGCAGAGGACAATATGATTCATTTTCTAAAACATTGTCGGAAGGTCTGTTGGCAAGAAAAAACCCTTTTCAGACTTGCAGTTAAAGTATTTAAAAAGGGAGAACCTTAGTTGCTCTGTGCGTTTTGAGTAAGCAGTATTCAAGAGGTGAAAAATCAATCTGCTATTACAACGTGCGGGGCCAAATCAAACTGTGAGTGACTGAGCGTGGCAACTCCAGTTCCCTCCTGGGTCTCAGGCCCCTTCTGCACCTTCCTGCTGCTGCCCATGGCTCCAGCTAATGCTTCGTGACAGAGATCTGGTTTTACTTCTCTCTGAATCTTGTTTGGAGATAGCTGTAATTTCAGAGTGATTTGGCAAATACCTGCAAGCCTAGTCTGTAGGGAGGAATGAAAATATTAGTCCTGAACGGCTGTCAGACTGTTTTACCCTCCCCAGCCCTGACCCCATCTACGTCCCCAGCCCAGAGGAAACCACTGCCACGTCTCCTTACCTGCGGCGTACGCCAGCTGAATCTGGGCATCGCTGGCCTCACCTCAAACGCTCTCCCACAAATCTTGCATGGATTGAGCAGCATACTGTCAGTTATCCCCACTCACTGAACCCACGCTTCCCTGTGCAGGAAGGAGCTTTGGCTTCTTGCTACTTCTTTTTCTCCCTCTATCTGCATTGAAGGTTTGTTCTTTAACACGAGACTTGGGCAAGCTCACTGCTGTGAATAAAATTACTGCACCTTTTAAATGAGTGAGCAAATTTCCAATCCCAGCTAACACACCTCATTTTGTGCCAGGGATATCATTTCCAAATTTACAGCTGTTAAACTTATGGATTATTGCAATAAAATTGCAGGGAGACAGCCGTGTTGTTGTTCAGGCAGGTCCATGCTTTGGCTACAAGTCTTTTCCATAGGAAGGTGCCTGCACCAGAGCTTTGTCCTTTGCAATTCAGGAGGTTGCTTGTACAAAGATTTGCAATTCTTTTGCCCTCAGTTTGCCATGGAAGAGAGGATCGCCCAGGAGGAAGCAGAGGTTATGAAGGTTTTCACGTATCATCTCACCTCTGCAATGGGCTTTACAGCCCTTTACAGGCAGCCATTGCATCCCTAAAGGGAATTAATTTCAACTGGAAAGGAGGTCTGCCAGGTCTTACAAATGGTTCAAACACCTCTGCTTCCCTGTCAAGGGAGAGATAAGAAACAGCATAAGCAGGTTTAAACGCAGTTGGGCCTGTTTGTAACTTTGGTCTGATGCAGGGAGCACAGTGCAGCTTTTGTGCTCCTGCCTGGGAATGCCTTAGGGCCGCAGGTGACCAAGATGAAGCGCGTTAAATTGTTGCCTGCAAAGATTTAACCAGGCGATAGAAAGACCCAAAGAATTTCAAAGGCTGCTGCCAGCACTGAAAATCATTTAGTAGCAAAAGCTTTAGGTTTCCATGTAGTCACAGAGCTGAATTACCCCGTACTTCTTTGAAAGCGTTAAGATTCTTGTACAAATTTGTGTAGGACAGCAAAAGAGGTGATGATTAACTCGATTTCACACAGAGCACAGAAGAGGATACCGGGCAAAGTAAACAGCCCTTCACTTCGCTGCGCTCCAGCCAAGGGGACCACCCCGTGCCACTGCACGGAGCCAGTGGCACCGCTGCTCGCTGCAGCCCCTGGCAGCCGCGGCGGGGGGAGCGCGGGACCGGGGCTTCAGTGCCTGCTGGCTGTCACAGCCCGAACTGCTCAGGTGCTGCTGGGGCGTACTGCAATTCCTTGGGCTGAAAGCTGCTTTGTCCAACAAACCGTACAGTGTGATCGTACCTGTGCAACGGGCATGCGCGCAGCGGGCATGGATGCACTTGCGTATGGTCCCTATAGACGGTCCCTCTGGCTCCCCCAGCCTATAGGCGCTGGCAGACGTTGGCTGTAGCGCGTGGGACCAGCGTGCTGTGCTCAGCCTGAGTGCGATACCTACAGGCAAACCTATACCCCAGGCAAACCTATGGCTTTGCTGCTGGGGCTTTCCCCCCTTCTGCTCTCCGCCGAGATCAAGCTGCAGTAGCTTTGCCACTTTGCTTTCCTTTGTGTCTCTCTTTCTCTGTCACTCAAAGTGGGGGTGAGGGGGCTGTACTTTTTTGTGATTGCTAGTGATTTCCTGTCAGATATTTTCTCTGGAAAATATTGGGTTTAAGCTTAGCCACACAGGTCTTTGCTGAAATGGAAATTGCACCTGCTGAAAACCTCATGCGACACAATCTTTTAAACTGAGAAATGGTGTTATATATAATGTTGTGATTTTCATTGTATGGATTTATTTTATTTTATCAATAAATACAAGCATAATGTTGTTTGGTAGAAAGCATATTGAAAATACCTACCTTGTTCAGTGTAGAAAATAACCACCACCACAACAACAAAAAAAAAACGAACTAGAAGTATGCTGCAAGTAATTCATAAAAGGCAAATAATTCAAACAGTAGCATTTGCAGCAGACTGGAGGGAGGCGGTGCAGTTTGAGGAAGGCCAGATAGCAGAGTTTGCGCTACAGGATGGAGATAAAACATTGAGCGTATGGGAGGTGGCACGTGGAAAAAGCAAATTCCTGACCTCTTTACACCTCGCATTTACTCAGACAGTTTCTTTGTCCGCTGTCTAAAAATTCGGCAAGCACATGGTCAGTCGTAGCTTGTGGGCTTGGTTTGGTAACGCGGCGTGTCATTTCCTCGTGGGCATGCGGTACTGTTGTCCTTACCACGCTTCACCATTCTTTGAGCTTCTTCAGCTTCGATGCAATGCTCACGTAGCCGCTGCTCCATACCTGGGAATTGCTGCTGTTTAGGTCTGGGGGTTGTGTTTTGGGGTGGGTTTTTTGTGTGTGTTTGTTTTCACGTAACTATTAGTATGTATTCTAAAATGCTAATGTAACCTTTGAGGACCAGGGCACGGCACTGGGGACTGGAATCGTGCCGTGCCTTTGCTCAGAAAGATCCTACCTTCGGTATGTGTTTGGCAGAAAGCCACTAAATGTAGAGAGGAGTCCCTACAGAGAAGAGGGGGTCACTCACTGTTTAACTCGGAGCAGCTCCTAGCAATCAAAACCCACCGTCAGCTGAAGGGTCAGCAGGTTTTTGGGGTTGAGGACAGGGGACGGAGTCCACCCCTGCCTGCTGCCCAGCTCCTGCCCTGGTGTCGCTCAGCTTGTTAACCCGCGCGTTTGGAGACGGACTGTAGGGATGAAACGCTGCTTTTACGCTCCCGGTGTAATTGTTTTTGACAACAAAACTATTTTAAATTCTCCGTGGATGTGTGGGTATCTTATCAGAAACAAAGTGGCCTCAAAGAGCTGTTAAACCAATTATAGGAGTCCTGGCTCCACGGCAGAGTCAATACAAAGTGGCACTTGAAAAGAGCACAGATTGCTCTGCAAGGTCAGGCAAAGCACGGCTAAATCAATAAGCCAAATCGAGTCAAAATTTTAGAGTACGAAAGCGCAAGGATGGGAAGGGATGCAGGTGGAGCGGGAACGCGTCCTGCGGCAAGCTGCGCCTCGCACCTTGCCCCGCGCAGCCCTGCGCCAGGGATTCATTAGTGCCTGCAGCCTCATTAGTGCCTGCAGCCTCTCGGCGGGCTGTTCGGCCACGGTTCCTTTGATTCTCTGCTTCTGATTTTGACTCGTTTCCAGAGGCAGGGCGCTGCAGTAGGGGATTGCTGGGGCTGGTCGGGGCCAAGTCCCCCTGCTGTGGGCAGCGCTCGCGACCCTGGGCTTGCACCGCTGCCGGCGATGCTGCG